TTGGCTCGAGGTCGTGTAAAGCTAACTGCTTCTGTAAACACAAACCAACGCAAGCAAACAAAGCCCAGTTTCGAGATGGTGGTCTGGACCTCAGGGGTCTTTCTCTGATGATCCGGGTAAGAATCTTTTGGCTGCAAGCGACACCCCGTTCTGACATAACTAGCCTGTGGTCGTCAGGTAGACCTGGCTGTCTGCCAGAACACACAGACCCCAAAGTATGGGGGGCCTAGCCCAGCGAACCTCTCCTTGCTCACACAAAGTCCAGTGTAGTTGGTCCTGGCTGAGCGGCACTGCTGGGTGGCTCCGCTCCAGGGCGTGACTCAGGGACCCGAATTGCTTCCGTCCTAAGGTTGTGCCATCTCGTGGCTTCAAGATCGTCCTCATCTCATCCATCTGGGTAGATGGGGGGAGCGGAGGGTAAGGCGAAGAGTCACGTGCCTGAACCTAGTCCCCTCGACCCAGAAGTAACCTGCTCCACGTCACATTGCATTAATGAGAACAAGTCACGGGTTCCACGTAGATTCCAGGGGACGGGACGTGGAAAAGTGTCATCCGTGGCTGGAGACGTGCTTCCGAGTGATAACCGCGAATAATAAAAGGTGAGTGAACCTTCGGCAGGTGCTGCATCATCTCAGCCATGCACCTGAAGTGAGAAAATTGTATCCCCCATAAAATGAAATCTCTGGGTGGCGAACACACAGTGCAACATACAGATGACGTATTATAGAATTGTACGCCTGGAACCTATAGAATTTTATTAACCGACGTTGCCCCAATAAATTTAATAATAATAATAATAATAAATAATAATAATAATAATAAAAGAATCTTGAGATAAAGTGGACCAGAGATTAGTCAGTTCCGCAGCTCAGAGGTAAATTCAAGGACCCCAAACCTTCCCGTCTCCCCACCCTGCCCCGCTCAGGCCGGTGTCCATCATCCAGACGCAGCCCGCATCAGGAGAGCGGCCCCTTCCCCATGTGTCCTCACGGATGAAGACGCCGTTCTTAGAAGCAGTCCATCAGACTTGCCCCGTATCCTCTCTGGCCAGAACTGGGTCACGCGTGCCCCGCCAAGCCAGTCGCCGATGAGGGAGCCCGCCACTGGTTCTCGGCCGTGGCTGCACGTTAGCACAATCTGGAGGAGATTTTTTTTTTGCAGACTTGACATTCTATCAAAATTAAACGTTACCAAAAAAATAAAAAGAAGAAGGAAAAATGGGAATTTACGCATAAGAGCCAGGGTTTGGGGCTTCTCTTGAAAATCAGGAAATCCGGGGCAGGCGGGGCCGGCCGCGGTGGCTCCAGCTCCGGGGAGGCCGAGCCCCAGGCTGGAGGATCCCTGCCCGGAGGCCTTCCGGTGGCTGCTGTCCTGCCTCCATCCTGTTCCACCCTCTCCCAGCCTCTAAGTATAGCTCGGATGATTTCCTGCCAGGCGCGGCACCTCGCACTTGCCCACACGGACGCGCGTCCCCGGCGAGTCCCCTGCCCACTCGCACAGCCGGGTGCCGTCTTCCCGCGGCTCGTCACCGGGGGCTTGGCATTTCGGTCCCTGGCGCCGCTGAGTGCCATCCGCAAACGTGGCGCTCTCAGCATGGACGCCTCCAGACCAGCACGGCGAATGTCAAACGGAAGACCCCTCCCACACCAACACCCCCCTGTTCCCCATTCGTTAATTAACCAACTCCCAACAGCCCGGCCCCATCTCTGGGCGCAAGCCAGGAGAGCCAGCCGGGGTCATCTCGAGCAGCGAAAGGGGCTTCGCGGCGGCCAGGGCCTCTCAGCGGCCGCGTGCCTGACACGTGAGGCCGGGTGACTCTGTGGGGTGGGGTGGGGGGGGTGCGTGTTGAGCAGCACCCTCGGCTCCTACCCACAACTCCCCTCCCCCCAAGTCGTGCCAGCCAAAACTATCTCCAAGACACTGTCTGTCACGTGCCTTGAAAAAAAGGGAGGGACTCACATCCCATGAAGAACCAGTATAGGGACGGGAAAGCTGAAGAACAGGGCCCTGGGAAAGACGACAAGCCGTCCCTCCAGGCTCCCAGACAGCGGAGACCAGCAGACGGCCGAGTTCGAATCCCGGCTCCACTGTCACCGAGTCGTGTGACTTTGGATGATGACGTAACCTGTCTGGGCCTCCATGTCCTCATCTCTCAAATGGGACGTGCGGGATACATTGGTTTATCCAGTGGAAATAAGCAACTCCCAAATGTC